AGGCGAGAATCTGCATCAAACACATCCAAAACAGGGGATCTTCGGTGAAAGCTTTGGTCCGTCGTTTTTTACAAAAACCATACTCTACATGTCAATCATATTGCGCGTCCTAATACTCATATATAACGCAAAAGCTTGGAAAATGGCAACTTATGATGAAGCGGCCTTTGGTGCATTGTAGAAAAAGACTTTGCAGATTTTTTATTTCTTTCGCATACGCCCTCATAAATAGTGAGCTTTGATACTTAGATATAAAGATATTAATATAGGAAATGCATGGCGTCCTATCTATTGTGCTCTTTGCTCTTTACAAAACATATTCTAAGCCTTAATACCTCAAAAGGCTCAGGAGAGCTTTCAGGGATAGAGAATGAATGTGCACAAACTGTAGCCACATAAAACCTAGACTCCTGCCGTACTAGACTTTGTCAAGCAAATTAGTAGATAAGGAAGTGCTCGGGGCGAATGGGAGTCACGATGTAGAGAATTGGAATGTTAGCTGCTGAATCTCCTACAGGTCACTCCGTTATCTCATTTCCTCTCTATTCCCATGTAACCTTCGGTGTGTTTACCAAGAGAGTTAAGTTTCTCAATGCACTGAACCTTTGGACCTTCATCTGATTGCATTAAAATTAAGATCCTCTCAATCCTTTAATTCCTACGTTAATTTAGTACTGATGGCTTACATCATCGCTTGAAATATGATCGAGTATTTCCTCATTGAAACAAACATTCTAGTTCAGCGTCCACAGATACCCGCTCCTATGTCTTTTAAATTTTTCGAGCCGTATGTGTTCCATGCAGAATGCCACCGCGGATAAGCCTCTCAAAGGAAGAGAAGTTCCAGGTTATTTTGTTACATAATTACATATATTTATTGTATAAATCTTTGTTTTTAACAACTATCGTCATCGTTTGGAAATAATGCTAGCTGAAGCTAAGACCCTAGCACCTTCTATATTCTTTCCAGTAAAGCTTAGTTGAGTTCATTTGGCAACCTGCTCTATGGGTAGGTGAAAAGACATAAGTTCTAGAATAACTTCCAGCGCTGCCGTTGAACATGTGATTATCGCCCTTGTTATGCATACACATGCCAGTCCGTGTAGCTCGGTGATTGATTGCCCATCGTGGCCACAGTAGTTCCATAGATCTAAGCTACCGCGCCATGGGTTACTATCGATTGTACTATCATGTAGCACAGGCATCTTAGGACTTAAGGACTGCATTCTTATGACTTGGCTGTCCAACCGTTGCACACCATTTAGTCTCCGTAGCTTCGGAGATGGCTCTAATAAAAAGAAAGCTTAAACTCAATTTTTGTACTAATGAGAGAACTCAAAATTCAATTGGATCTTATGCTTCCTTTTTCTTTATATGTTGTGTGCTGCTTCTTTTAATATTTTTGCAATACTTGGGGAAAATCTTACTCTGGATCCTTTAGGTCTCAGAATAAAAACTATGCAGACCATAAACTTTAAAATTAAGTAAATAGCTACATCGAAAGCTCTTTTAGGTCGAATGAAAGTTCCTAGGCTTTTTCGTGTGGTTAACCCCCACACCAAGGCACTTTCTTCACTTTTCACAAACTTTTTCAATTTAGTGCTCGACAGCCAATTAAAAATAATACACATATTTGCAGAATAAGGCAGCTTGCCTTGCAATAAAATGCACGACCAGCAGAAAGGAAAAGTCAACCCCAAGAAGGAAAAACCCTGTTCCAGCGCACCAAAGTATGCAATGCTAAATGCTGCGGCGCGCATTCGACCGCAAAATTATAATGCGCCTTCCACTCACACACACACACACACACACACACAAAGCTAACTAGTGGATTTTTTACAGTTCCATTAAATGCAAACTTTGCCACGCTTCTCGCAGATACTTCTACAACTCCTTTGCAAATTATGATTTAAGCTGCAGATAAGCTGCTAAAAGGCAGCGTGCAAAAATTAAACCCTAATTGAATTTATGAAAATGAAAAATAAGCTGGCTAAGCGCATTAAGAAATTTATATTTATTTTGTAATGGAACTTATTAGCAGCGTGCACGTTTTTCTTGCGCAAATGTGGTCGGTCAGTCGTTAAAAAAAAGCTGCCCGGAAAAATGTGAAAAATTTACCAAAATGCTAAAAATGCGAAAAGCATTAAATTTTCTTGCCTTGATTTGCTATTAATGGGGGTCACTAAGGCACCAAGCGCGCTGCCAGCTGAGTTGGAAAGCAAATTAGCTTGAAATATTTTTTATGTTAGCACTTGCTTGCAGTGCGGCGAACATTTTGGCACTTAATTTTTGCCTGTCGTAAAAGGGCATTAAAGGCAGTGAACCAAAAAAAAACAAAAACAGGCGCAAGAAGTGTGGTGCGTTTTTGCCAGCATTTCAACTGCTACAAGATTACAAACACTTCGATCTTTCAACGCTTTGTTTGCTTGCTGCCAAAAATCGTGCATCCACCAGCGCTTGATTTGCTGCTGTTTGAAGTTGCTCGAACGCGTACATACATATTTTTGATATGATGCAGAGCAGACCTCAAGTTCGCGCGTCTTACGCCACTAACCGCCATCTCTTCTTCACTTGCTCATCACACACCTTCTGTTTGTGTATATCTTTCTTTTTTTTTTATGGTCTGTCCGCTTATCGTGCATCTCGCGCATTGCAGCGTATCCACTTGAGCAGTTCAACAGCCAGCAGCAAGGCAGCAAGCAACCAGCGTTTCTTCACCATTCACCTCTGCTGTACTGCTGACGTTGTTGTGCTGGATTATCATTTTCAATCGTTGCGCTTCATTGCCGTTTGATATTGATGCATTCAATTGTTGGCCACCGAAGTGCTGGAATCGCTTATTTCGGTTAGCATTAAACTGCATCGGCGCACACTGGGGTAGGAGACCTCATAACTGCCATCAAATGAACAAAAGCTGTTAGACCTTCTAAAGTGGATCGAATGTTTTCGTAGATATACCTTTTATTTAAACAAAAAAAAAAAACAATTTTAAATCAGTTCAAAACTGCATACTCAAAATCTTTCTGAATACTGCAATTAAGAACCTTCACATTTTCACAAAATCTTGTTCAATTTTTTCATGTAACTCCTTGGCTTTGGAGCTTTTGCTATGCGAAATTAGTTACAAGTTAATTAAAATATCACAATATGGATATCAAATGGAAGGTATTTTAAAGATCCCTAATTCAAAAATATTTTTAATAGGGTTGCCACCTATTTTTAGTCGCATATTTATTCAAATTTTTTTTAGAAAAAAAGATAAAATATTACTTTACTATTCATGGGAGAAGGTTCTTAAACAATGCTTTCCCTATGTATATACAAAATGTTATCGCTTAGGATAATAGTGTAAGGTTGCCACTTATTTTCGATTCTACACAATTTATCTAAAACATCGCAATATGGATATCAAATGAAAGGTATTGTTGCGAACGTTGGCCAGAAAATATTTTCCATCAGGGTTGCCACGCTTCTTTGTAATACGAATTTTTATTTTATTAATTTCAATCAGAATTTTTTTTGTGTATACACAGTACGTATATGCTCAAGAATAGGGTTGCCACCTAAATTTTGGAGTAAAAAATTTACTTAATAGATATCGAAGTCCAATTTTTTTTATTCACAAAATATTTTTTAAAGTTATCCAAATCTTGAAAACTTTAAAGAGTATATGCACTCCAGCACAACAGCAAAAAGGTAGCAGAAAAAAAAATTATTTGTATGAAGCTATACAAATATTATTTTTAAATAACAACTATAGTTTCGGCATGCTTCAAACCTAAACAAAATGGGCATATACGAAGTTAGTTGCAGCTTTTTCGACAAAAATTCCATCGAAAAGTATGTCAAAAAGCTGAAAGTAACTTTAGTGCCGACTTTATTCTGATTATAAATATGCCCGAATATTTATTATTTATTAAATTTGCTATTGTTTACTATATAGCTAAATTTGTATTGGCAGTAAATATCTTCTTAGTCTGTATAAGACGTAAGTTTACTTCACTGTACTGTGTAGTTTTTATGGTGCACTTAAATACTGTTAAACAACACATCTTAGTATTCTTATAAAGTATGTAATATAGTGAGTGCAACCTGAACTGATTTTTTTTTTTAATTTTCGGCAGTTTTTGAGCGCATCTGCCCCAGTGTGCGCCGTAAAGAGCCAGCCAAATGGCGTAAACGGCGTAGAAGCTACGAGTCGCTTCAAAGCTAATTGCAACTGATTGCATTTCAAGACATAAAAAATATTTAAAATGTGTTATTAAAACTGCAACCCTTTGTATTTGGCATTCTTGGGAGCAGCATCTTTTAGATGATACACATTAAGATAGCCGTTATTTTGTGTGAAGTAACGCATAAAGTCAAGCAATGAAATGCTTCTATTTGCATATGTACACTGAGCCAAAAGCACAATGGTTTTTTAATCAAGTTATTGTTTACACATTTGAAAATACATTTGTAGATATGTCTGGCTGTAGCTTAAAGTGCAGAGATGCCTGCTTGTCGGCCTCCAGCAGGTTCGGGTTCGAATGTCATCACAGGCGACATGCAATTTTTTTTTGTGGTTTCTTTTTCTTAAATATGAAAGAGAGGCAAAGTGTTAAAATGATAATAAAATTTTTTTTTCGTGTCACCGAATTATGCAAAAGCATCTGTGAAGGGCAGAACATAAGCGTATTCAAACGAAAAAATTGGCAACCAAAAATTTGTTTAGAGTAAACAAAAGTGTGGTTAATATTACTAAATCACTATTGAAAATATCAACCATGGCATTGTTGGTATTAAACAAAAATGACTTGGATTCCTTTTCAAGTTTGAATTTGCTAATATTAACCAATTTTTTGTTGATTTTTTTCTCAGTGTATGTAAATCCATTTAATAAGCTTCTTTATTCTGCCGTCGTGTCAGTTTGTATTAAATTTTCGTCACTTAAATATTTATTATTTCAAAAAAATGTCGATTTCAATTTTTTCACATTTCTTCTTTCGCTTTCATTGCAGCCTGCGAATGCCATCCAATCGGTTCTTCTGGCAAAACTTGCAACAACACCTCTGGCCAATGTCCCTGCAAGGATGGTGTGACTGGTCTCACCTGCAATCGCTGCGCGCGTGGCTATCAACAGAGTCGTTCACACATTGCGCCATGCATCAGTAAGTCATTAAATATTCCCCTTCTACGGTTGACTAATATATACATATGTACGTTTTGCTCTTACTCGTTTCGTTGCATTCAATAACAGAAATTCCTGCCCGTAAAGCGAATATGTTGGATACACAGAATACTGCACCTGAACCCGATCCACACGATTCCAATGCACCTTATCGCACTGAAGGTGGGAGGGGTAAGTAAGTGTTCGCTTTTTATCACTTTTTTGTTGGTGTTGTTTGATTTGTTATTATTGTTTGGATAATCTGTGTACACTCCTTAGATTAGCTAAATGTGGGGTTTCCTAACCGTAAAAAGAATTTTACTAATTTTCTTTTGCTGCTACTAATCTACTTAAGACCACTTTTTATCGACAATAGCAATTTAGTGGATAACATGTTGTGGCTTAAACCCCCCTCTCCCCTTATAAAGTGTCCAATAATTACACCGTGCTACAGTAAATTTTACACACAAAAGAAATGAATATATTCGCGAAACTATGGTTAATTTATAGTATAACTGCGTACTTAGTTTTTCTTCCTGGCGTCAGGATTTTTTTAAAAGGACTTTGAAATTTAAAAAATATTATTTCAAAAAATTATTTACAAAAATTCAGTGCAATGTAGGATAAAAATATGGCTACCATATAAAAGAAAAAATTCTGTAAAATTATAACAAAATGAGTTTTTGGCACATAAGGACGAATCGGAATGTCCTTAACAAATTTTGTCCTTAAATATTCTTGAAAATTTGCAATATATATTTTTTTTAATTATTGTTTGAGCTCATCATCGAATTTCGTCCTGCAAACTTTATTAACTTAAAAAGATAATTTTTATTAAAAGCGCATTTTCAATACCTATTCGTTCTTGTAAACCAAAAAACTTTATTGTTTTTAAATTCTACAGAATTTTCCCTGTCACTTAGTACGTATATTGTTATTCCACATTTCCCTGGCTTTTTTTAATATTTTTATACCCGAGCGCACTTGTGCACAAGGGTATATTAATTTTGTTCACATAACGGTTGTTTGTAACTGCCAAAACGAATCGAGATAGATATAGACAAATGTATACATAAATGATCAGGATGAAAAAAGAAATCGATTAAGCCATGTCTGTCTGTCCGTCCGTCTGTCCGTCTGTCCGTC